TGTACAATCGATATTTCTGTTCTTTCGTGGGCGTGGCTAAATGAAAATATTAAAATTACATTATAATTATAAGGGGACATTATTCTTTTTCAGAATTTGATTTTGACAAGAGAATAAGACGTTCTAGGCAATTTTAGCTTGCACGATTGTCGCATTCAATAACAACATCGTTCTGCAGTTTGGAGGTGGAATCTATTATTTAGGTGTCAACATATTCATCCGAAACATGAGAAGTTACCAATATCATGGTACATTACAATTGTTAAAAGAGCACGTAATTTAATGGAAACTAACGTAGGGTAATTTTGTCACGACAAATTTACCCTACGTTAGTGCAATTTGAAAGATCTACATGTGCATTAAATCCCATGAACGAGGTATATAGAGATTTTCCTTGAAAAGTATCACGAGTTGGGTCCACTTGGTTAGTGCAATTTGAAAGATCTACATGTGCATTAAATTATCTTAAAGGTTTAATGCACTTGAACGCTACCAGATGTCCACGACGCTATGTCGGAAAAGAGCTAGTCAAAAGAGTCAGACATTAATTCGTGCGCTTTTCCTCAAATTTAGTATCGACGACAGTCATTTGTATATTTTTGGTCAGACCCACAATAAAGGCCATTGCCCGGACAAGGAGGACACTGCCAATTAAGGGTGATCAGTTCTAAAGTTGATAGACTCTGGACCTTGAACTTATAACCTATCCTAATAGGATCGATTTTCAGTTTTTGGAACAATGGAACCTACCTTGTTAGTCCTACAACCGACCGTGTCGGTTCGGTCCAGTTCCAATTTTTTTAAGTTCCATTTTTTTTACAACCGAGACAAATAGCGGTCACAGCTAAATAGTATAAGCAATAAAACTGTTCAAATTAAAAACTGAACAACAGAAATCCCTATACATTAAAAGCAACAATCCAAAAAAGATGAACATGCACAATTAAAAAAAAACAATAAAAATTTCAAAACACGTAATATAAAACATGAATTATAAAACTTCATTCCTCATTCATCCATAAAAAAAATTGCTCTAAATTCTAGCCACTTGAAAGTAAAACAAATAACATAGTTAATCACTTGACGATAGTTTAAATAAAAATTTAAGGGGAATCTTCCTACAATGGAGTATTTAAAAAAAAAATGATGCCAAATGTTACTTCATATATTTTTTGAAAGAATGATGTGCTATATATCTGCTCTATTTGATGTTAGAGAGTAGAGTGCGAGGGTGAGAAATGAGAAAAGAGAGGCTCGGATCTGACAAATAAGAAAGTAATAGGTTTTGGTTTTAAAAAAATAGGTTCTAAGGCTGCGAATGGTAACCATTCTGTTTCTCTATTTATGTTCCAGAAATAGGTTTGGAACAGAAATCTGTTTGGTAACAAAATTCCAATTTCTATTTCTGGAACAAATTTTTGTTCCAGAAATAGGTTTGGAACAGAAATCAGAAGTTAAAATTTTTAGCTTCTTTATTTCTGGAACAAAAATGAGAAACAAAGTTTTTTTGTTCTTCTCATCACTTTCCCTCACTATTAGCCGGTCGCTCACCCGCCGCCCTTCGCCGGCTGCCGCCGCCCACATACCGCCGCTACCCGTCGCTGGCCGCCGCCGCCGGTCACCGTCTCCTGCCGCCGTCTACCCTCCTCCCCCTACCGGTGGCCTACGGCCGCCACCCACCACCAACCACCATCTCCCGCCGCCACTCTCCTCCCACCCCCGACCTCCCTCCTCCGGCCACCGCCGCCGCCCACCTCCCACCGCCGGCCGCCGTTGGCCGCCGGCCGCCATTGCCTCCCGCCGCCACCCTCCTTCCACCCCCGGCCTCTCTCCTCTCGCCACCGCCGCCCACCTCCCACCGCCAGCTGCCGTCCACCGGCCACCATCTCCCACCATCGGTCGCCCTCCTCCCATCGCCAGCCGCCGCCCGCCGTCCACCGACCACGATCTCTCGCCAGCCGCCGTGGGCTGCCGTCCACCGGCCACCGTCTCTCGCCGCCGATCGCCCTCTTTTGGCCGCCACCCACCTCCCACCGCCGGCCACCGTTGGCTGCCGCTCGCCGTCCATCGGCCACCATCTCCCACCGTCGGCCATCGTCTTCCCGCCGCCGCCCGCCTCCCACCAACGGCCACCGTCTCCCGCCGCCACCCACCCTCCTCCCGCCACCATCCACCGCCCGTCGACCACCCGAGAAGAAGAAATTTTGTGCCGTTATCAAATAAATTTCTGTTTCTGGAACAGAAATTTTGTGTCGTTATCAAACGTTTTTTTTTGCTAAGAAACTCCTCCAGAAACAGAAATAGAAAAATCAATTTCTGGCTAGAAATTGATTTCTGAAACAGAATGGTTACCATTCGCAGCCTAAACTGCTGGTTCTCGGATGGGTGAGTGGCTTCAACACCCATAATCGAAAACCCACCCGCACAATACCAATTCCATTGGAACAAGGGACCGATGGAATTGGATCAGAACCTACCAGGACGGTTCAGTTCTGTTCTCGAGTAGACCCTGAACCGGTGCTCATCCGTAATCTTTGAGAGACAAAGTTACACACCAAGTGGGAAGCCAAAAGCAAATGAGAAATTTGCAATCACGAGTCATGGGATGCTGCTGCTATCTAAAAGGGTGATTCGTACCAAAAAAGCTACTCGTGTAATGTAAAGATAAGCATCTAAGCGACGTACATAATTCATTGTCATATTCTATTTCCTCGTAAGCAATTCACTTTAAAGCTGATGCCAATTAACCTTAGTCGACAAGATCGGCTTCGATGTTAAATGTTCTCCACTCAAATCAATTATGGCGAGATCCCCTTGCATTGACCAAAAACCAAGAGAACAGAATTAAAGAAGCGATAAATTAGTGATTGGTGAAGATGATTAAAATCAATATAGGTGCATTATTAATGAAGAGATTCGTTTGTTGGAGCAAGAAGATAGCACTTATAGTGAGGAGTGAGACAAAGAGGAAGCAGAAATTTATACATTATTTAAGAAATTCAACATTGAAAGTAATAAATTGTGGATGAAGTGTGCTTCGTGTGTTGTGTGGCATCATGAGTGGCACAATATATGAACAAAGTATCAAAATTCAATTGATGGATACCTTTTGATTCGGCCACTTAATTGGCATGCGACAAAAGCCATGAGATGATAATAGCAAATCCGTCCCTCTAGTAGAGCTATAGAATAGAATATCATGAATGAAACTCTATAGTTTTTAGCTTTAGTTGATGGTTGAAATTAAAAAAAATTACAAATTATTTATGGAGGCTCATATTGGCCGGTTCCCACTTTTCGGGACCGAGGACCGGACCGTTTCTCGAGGGAACTAGGCCCCACATTGCCGGTCTAGGGTCGGTCTAGGATTTACCACCAACCAGATATTGAGAGCATTATCTTTTCATTAGGAAAATTATCAAGAACCATTCAATATGCACGGAATTTGTTAACAATTGCTTAAAGACACTTGATAAGTAGCTAATTAAAAAAGTATATCTAATAACTGTCCTATTTAATAAGGTTAATGAGAAAGTATTCAATTTTCAAAGTAATAATAGTCCATAGCACGAGGGCAGTCAATACATCGGGAAATTGCAATATTTCCTTCTTTAATTGCTTAACAAGTGTTCCGACAGCATTTTTTGAAGAAATCCTTTTCATAATTTTGTAAACCTCAATAGCTTTTTTCTTTTTTACTATGATGAAAAAGGCGAAAACTAGTTTCTTGGTTTTAAAACAGACATACCAGATAGGCTCTGAGTATATAAATAAGTGTGATCCATATGTACAAATATATCTGCTTAGATGTCTCTTATCTCGTTGCCTTATAAATAGGTTTCAATAATAAAGTGAAATGTTAAAAAAAATGCCCCTTGGATATTTGTTAATCAATTGATTAAGGAAAGTTTGCAGTTTCTAATGCAATATGATTATGTTATGTGTAATCAAGGATTGATTTTTGTTGCTTATATATTTGAAATACATACTATGAAATCAAAATATTACTTATTAATCCAAAAAGTCCTAAACCTATTCACTTTTGCCAATTCAGTCTTAAACCTTTCAATTTTGCCAATTGAGTCTTAAATATGTTCACATTTTGCCAATTGAATTTATCCGGCTAATTTTGGCCGGAAATTGCTGATGGGGACATCGACCGTGCCACGTAGGACGGTCGGCGCTGACGTGGAGAATTTTTAATAATATTTTAATATTTTTGAATTTATTATTATTTCCCTTTTTTTCTTTTTCTTTTCTCTCTCTTTTTTTGTTTCTTTCATCTTCCTCCTCTAGCCGATTGCCAACCGTTGTTGATGGCCGACGATCGGCCAGAGTCAAAGGCCGGTTAGGTTGCCCTTGTCCATCACTGGCGGTGGTGTGCTTCGCCAAAGGCCGGCCACTTTGCCGGGCCTCGCCTTTGGTTGGTCACCGAGTAATCGGATAGAGGAGGAAGAAGGAAGCAAAAGAAAGAGAAAGAGAAAGAGAAAAACTCGAAAAAAAATATTTTAAAATATTATTAAAAATTATCCACGTTGGCGCTGGCAGTGCCACGTAGGACGGTTGGCGTCCACATCAGCGATTTCTGACTAAAATTGACCGGATGGATTCAATTGATAAAATGTGAAAATGTTTATAACTTAATTAAAAAAATTAAAAAATTTAGAATTGGATTGACAAAAATATGATAAATTTAATACTTTTTAGATAATTTTCTCGATTTAACAAATATCCAGAAAAAGCAATAGTTAACTGACAATCAATCTGTCAACGAAATTTCCCTGGAAACTCTTTTGCCCTTTCCGGTGAAGTTATCATGTTTTGGACAACCTTATCATCACCAACCAATCACCGACCGATCCTCCACGAAATAATTCACGGAGAATCTTAGTCAACACATTCATGACCCTTTTTTCCAAGCAGCCCCACATCCAAAAAAAAACACATGTTCTTCGCATGGACCCTTTTCTCTAATTGACGTGGAAACGTCAAAGCCACAATTGACGACTTTTCAAGCATCAATTCGATAAATCCAAAAAAACAAAAGGAAGGAAATCCAAAACGGTGCGATTCCCATGATTTCCCACATTGACACAAGGCCTTCCGTTTGCCTTTCCTTTTTCACTATTGCATGATCATTGTTGTGATTGGAATAGAATAGAGGGAGAACAAGTAACAATCGATTCCTCAAATCTCCGGAGCCCATGTATTGATGAATCTACAGTTCTTCCTCACTTCCCCATTGGCGAAGCTCTCCGGGTTCGTGATGTTCCCCAGCCTCACCATCGACTCCGAGAACTGCACAAAGAAGGCGATCGGGTCGGCCGCGTACTTCCTCACGATGTCCCTCGTCTGCACCGCCAGGATGCTCGAGTACATCTCCTGGTCTGAGTTGAGCAGGCCCTCCCCCTGCAGGAGCAAGTGGTAGATGGAATTGTCGAACAGGTTGGGGGTGACGTAATCCAGGGGCGCGACGGTGTTATTCCCTCCCCCTACCGGGGGGCAGATCGACTTCAAGTGGCCGAGGTACGCCTCCGAGGCTGGACTCTTCTCGGACGTGGCTTCGAAGTCCCCGTAGATCCGCGCCCGGAAATTCTCGCACCGCGCCATCCCGACCGTGTGAGCCCCTATCGATTATACACATCCATCAATTTGGGAAAGTGGCTGAAATTTATCATTCGTACTTGATTGGTGTGGTGTGTTAAATTAGGTTAAGAGCATGTCAAAGAAGTTGCGTGATAATTCATCTTTCTTTTCGTCTATCCAAAAACATGAACAGGAGAAATAACCTCATATCGCCTTTTAGCTTCCCCTTTTGTATGATGATACAATTTTAGATAATAAAATGAAAATTTAATTTTGAATAGATCCACACACTACCTAAGGCAAGCTTATTATGGGTGTACAAAACGAACCGCCCGAACTGGACCGGACCGAACTTGCAGGTTGGGTCCGGTTTCTAAAAGTGGAACCGGTATCCGGACGGTCTGGTTCCTAGAATCGGACCAAACCGGACCGACTACATATATATTTTTTTTCAAAAAAAATTAATAAAATGTGAACTAAATCCTAAGTAAACTTCATTGACAATAAATTCATTAACAAAAATTAATAAAATGTGAACTAAACTCTACGTGAACTTCATTAACAAAAATTAGTAAAATGTAAACTAAATCCTAAGTGGTCAGTTTCATTGGACCGGACCGGAACGGTAATCCGGTCCTAAGACCAACCAACCGGGGACCGATCACCACTAAAGCTTATCCTCAAGCTTCCACTTGTCGTGATTCTTTTTAATATTTTATTACCCGGAGGAAGCTAGAATTCAATTAGGACCAAACAAATTCAACAGTTTATGTACAATTGATATTTCTGTTCTTTCGTGGGCGTGGCCAAATGAAAATGTTAAAATTACATTATAATTATAAGGGGACATTATTCTTTTTCAGAATTTGATTTTGACAAGAGAATAAGACGTTCTAGGCAATTTTAGCTTGCACGATTGTCGCATTCAATAACAACATCGCTCTGCAGTTTGGAGTTGGAATCTATTATTTAGGTGTGAGCATATTCATCCGAAACATGAGAAGTTACCAATATCATGGCACATTAAAATTGTTAAAAGAGCACGTAATTTAATCGTATGATAAGGACATTCATCAGCTTAGTTAATTTACCGGCGAGAGCGACCATGTCGGTGACGGAGAGGCCTTGGTAGAGGAACTTGGTGACAATGGACGGAAGGCTCTCATCGGCTGTCGGGAGGTTGGTGGCGGCGAGGTCGTAGCTCGCCGTCCTCGAGTCCTTTCTTCCCAAGGGAACATCCCAATAAGGTCCACCGACCTGGGCGGAATTCGAAAGTTTACCACGTTACTGATCGCGTTAGAACTTAGTCTCCTCATATGAGATAATTATCCAAAAAGTCATAAACCTATTGTACGACAGTCAATTCAGTTTTAAACCTTTCAATTGTGCTAATTGAGTCCTAAACCTTTTGACGATTTGCCAATTGTGTCAATTGAGATTTAAACTCTTTGAAAATTTGTCAATTTAGTCATAAACCTATTATTTGGATATTTGGCCGGAATAACTACATTGGCAAATCGTTAAAATATTTAGAATTAAATTGACACAATTGAAAGGTTTAAAACCGAATTGACTTACATATAATAGGCTCAGGACTTTTTGGAGAATTTTCCGGTCTCTATGGCTAGTTACATCATAGATCGAATGAATGGTATTTCGAAGGTCATGATAAATCCAACCCAACAGAAAAAAGTGCATGTAAGTACTCTGGTCTCTGTCGTAAGTTTTAACACCACGACCAGCGATGGCACAAGGACATGAAAGAAGAAAACGAGTAGTCTATGCTTTTATGCTTTAAAAGAGACGAAGTTCGTGGACATACCAGAAGCGTCGCATCTCTCGCGGCAACAGTGAGTATGTCGGCGCAGGAGACGACTCCGGGGCACTCGGATTCGAGCATGTTCTTGATGCGGTCGATGATCCTGAACCCTCCGAGAGAGTGTATGTTGGTGGGAGCTTTCTTCTCTCCTTGGAGTGTGATAGTGTCGTCCAGCAAAACCGACCCGTCGCATCCCTGCGCTTGTCATCTTAATCGTTAGGGAAAAAGAAGGATCGATCATGAGTTTACAGGTTCTAATCCACTAGTTTAACTTTTGTTTAGCTTCATGTGATTCTAATTGTGGTTCCTAGCTCGAGTTCTAGACTTATTGATCGTGTGTCACCGATTCAAATCTTTCTTCTCGGTGCACAATTAGTACTAACACATTTTTGCATGTGCATGGTGAATTTGATTTGTGGAAATGAAATTGGTAGCAGCCCTTCTTGAAAATTAACCATTCATGGGGCAGAATCAGAGATATATTTACGAAGATATATAGACACATCGGTCCCCACGAAATCTAATTTAGATATCCCAATTGTGTCTTCAAAGTTCAAATCTTAGCAAGCTTGCAAAGATGGCTACTGGCTAGTACAGCATACGTGAAGGTACCATACAAAATGAAAATGAACCTGAACGAAGCAGTCATGGAAATGCAACAGAATGATGAACGCGGCGTTGCGAGGATTGGAGAGCACGGCGCATTCCATCTCCTTCCTCACGATCTCGAGCACCGACGGACATGACGACTTGTAGTAGTCCAGCGTCAACGGAGGGTCACCGGCGCGAGATGTTTTGCCGAAGCCAAGTAAGAGAAAGAGGGCCACGAACTGGGAAAATCGGGGTATCGAACGAGGCGATGAAGTTGCCATCGTCTGTAATGGTCTGGTACTTCGCGGTGGGGACTTTTAGTAGAGAGGGTGGAGGACGATGGGTGTGGCTATGAGAGATATATAAGCGAAAAGCATGTTGGACTCCGCGTTTGTGCGTTGAGTAACCATTTGAGAAAATGTTTCGAGTCAAGAGAGGATGCAACTAATATTTGGCCCGGTTGGTTGTGACCCAAAAACCATGCAGAGAGAGAGAGAGAGAGAGAGAAAGAGAGAGTGGTCTCTGCATACATGTTACTTGAAAAGATAAATGTAGGCAAGCCACCAAAGAACATAAGCAAATGCTTGTAAGAATCTGCTCATAGCACCGAGCTTTACACACGATCATCGAAAACCCTTCGATTTGGGGCACATTGGATTGCGGGTTATTTCCATAATTCGACCAATAGGTATCGAGATGATTCAATGTGATCGTCAATATAAAACATATAAGAGATGAATAGCAATATGTAAATAATTTGTGTTTGATGGATTCAAGTGCGCAATGGGGGTTGTTCTTTTCGACACTGCCTATTAAAATAAATCAACGTGACAACTTCTCAAACTAATGCAGGCCGGAGGTACAAGGACAACCAACGAGTCCATCCCTCTAAATGCTAACCAAAAGGACACTCACATCCGACGTTCCATCTGATGTTGGCCAGCCCACCCCTACAGCCCGATCTGCACGATGCTAAATACATGCACTACACCCGCAAGCAGTTTCGACTTCATGATTCGAAGTATCCATTTGAAAAAAAGAGAGTATATTGTCTAAACCGATTCTAGCTGTTTTCAAGCGCGAAAGTCATTGCTGAGGGGAAAATGGGAATCAGATGGTCTCAAAAGCGTACCAAGTTACAACGCCCTAAGAAGTAATATCACCTGTCAACATTTTCCGTGACACATAGCAGGATTCAGGTGTGCAGTTAAGAAACTTGAAGCTGGTAGAATTCACATATGTTTGTGTGTTCTCCAAGCAATATCAACAGGGGATATTGTTTGACCGACTGATTAAACAATGGTGGATGCAACACTCTTGTTCATTTTGGCTTGACATAAAGCAAGGCTATCACACAAATATGGAAGAAACAAGAAACCAAGTAGGAATGACTCATATCTAGATGAACGACCATTTTGAACATGAAGATTAACATTAACACAACAACAGTACACAAAATTCACGAGATGAAGGTAAAACATGGGGGCTAAGTAACACAAGAGGTAGAGATGATCAGACCCCAACCCATCCTCCGCATAGTCAAAGGGTTTTAAGTCATCTATATCTTTTATCGCAGAAAACTGGAGTGACTGGGCATCAAAGCGATGCTTAAGAATCTCACAAAATAAAGTTCAATCATCTAATTTCCACCCTTTCCTTTGAGAGCGAAGTTCTTCTTCTCGTTTTTTTTTGGACATGAACCAATACTCACATTGACATGAACCTAAAGCAGGTAAAAAAAAAATCCAAATGCTTTGGTCGAAATAAAAAAGAGAAGTACACTCCAAAGCACACGCAAATCTAATTTACAGTCGCCTCCCGCAAAGCCTAGCTTTACATTTCAAAGGCCATGTGCAAGACAAGTAGATATAATCTAACCCATTCTAATGAACTAATAGCAATTTTAAGAAACATGAAGCCTAAACACTGCATTGGGCTGCACTTGAAAAGACATGGACTTTGCATGTTTTTGTATTGGGGTTGATTCTGTCTACCGTGTCAGTAATAGAATGAATATGAACCCACACGATATGTTCCCAAGAAATGAAAATTATGAACTCCAAATGATCGAGAATAGATTATATGAGACAGCTATCCTTTACCAAGCGATATCACATCAGAAACCTCATCCTTCTGAAATAAAAGAACCAAAACCAATTCCAACAGATGCAAAAGTTAACAGATTCAACTTTGATATATCTGTTGAAGGAAAGAGAACACATTCAAGTTATAAAAGTGTAGGAAGAGTTTCCTGCTAAGAGGCATCCTCTAGCATAAAGTCTAACCCCGTAGTATTACCCCTTCTAACTTCTGTAGGCCATACAAGAAAGAAACACAACTTGACACATCGGTCAAATATTAAAGCACTTGACACAACATTCCAATGCCAAAGACAATTAACATTACAACTGTACTTTTTTGGAAGTAAAGAGAGAGGAACCAGCCTACCATAGTAGCATTTTTTGTAGTTTTCATTGCTCGTGTTTGGCTGTCGCTTGGATTTTCCTTTCCTCCTTTTTTGATCTCTACTTCAATTTTATAGTGAGAAGGTGTCAGGTATACAATTCAGGATCACATGGCTGGTCTTTGTAAAGAGTAGACCTTGATAACAGCTCCACTCCATCACAATTTAAGCGGAATCTAAAGTGAGGCAACACACTCCTGTGCAGGATAGATTTTATCATGGCAATGACAGAGCCATCAAATTCAGGCCATGAAACACAGAGCGCCCCTCTGATATTCATCATCTCACATCGTCCCAACAGAGCAGCAGCCAAGCCATCTATCATACTTCCTGATGGAAAGTAGTCTAAGCCCTTTAGCAAAGATGAATCTCCAGAACCATGATCTGCACTACTTCTTTCAGGTGATGTCTCCAGCTTGAATGCAAAGGTTTCATCCGGTGAGAGCTTCCCTCTGAAGTTCTGGCTTTGAATTGAAGCAAAAATTAGAACCCTCTCAGCAATAATAGATTGACCGATCAACATCTTTGCAACGAGGTGACATCTTTCTGCAGCTACAGGACACTGAACAGTGACCAGTAGTATTGAATTATCAGCATCATCACTGATAGCATAGATGTTGCAGGACTTATCTCCACGAGAAGGTTCAACTGAGATGCCAGACAAGGCAATCTCGGGGATGATAACAGTTCCAATTAGATTTTTCGAAGGTATTTGGTCAAAGATGAAGAGAGATGGAGAAGATAAGGCAACAATCAGGAGAGATGGGCGAAGAGGTCCATCAAGTTTAGGATTTGAGAACACGAAGAAAGGAGTAGGAAGGGGTGGCGATGGAGATATAAAGTTGTTGAGGTCTTCCTGGAAAAACCTTGATGGTGGAGGTATCTCAGTAAGGACATCTTCCATGGTTATACCTGCCCAAGTTGCGCAACCTGAACAATTACCACATAATCACATTCTCAAGTCTTACCCCAATTTGTGGGTTCTCTATAGTAAAGAGAAGAAGACCACAACAAAATGTCAGGCCATAGTCACCATACCAAACATCAAATTTACCAAATTAGAGTTCCTACACCTATATCCTGAGTCTATATGTTTGATTATGCTTGACTTAAACATTCTTCTTAACCTGGGGACCATATAATGTCAATGTCATCAATCAATCAATTCAATGCTCACCAATGCCCTTGAATGCAGTGTCATAAACCACAAAAAATCACAAACTTCAAACAACATCACCTATTATTGTGTGCGAATCATGCAATATCCATCCATGGTCGCAACTTGCAAGTCATTTAGGCAACGAAAGGAAGTACTTATCCCAACATAACAGAGTAGGAGACAGCAGCACCAATTCCTACATGAAAGAGAGCAAAAAACGAGGGACTTCTAAAGCAATTCAAGTTTTACGGCACTTGCTAGAATCGTCAGCGAGCAACATCATTCTTGGGCAAAGAATGAATCATACCATGGGAGCAAAACCGTGCGGTGCATCATGCATACAAGAAAAACTATAACCTCTCTTCTTCTTTTTCTCATTTTCGCCTACTTAACTATGGGCAAAAGAAAGAAATATACATTATAAATGACATCTTCTCTTGAACAGATAATAACCACAGAAGACGAATTACAGAGAATGAGAGGAACATCCAAGAGACCGATTAACTCGAAGATTCCTCGTTCATTCACACATCCACAACAACATCAAGGCAGACCAGAAGAACTAGACCCATTAACGAAAGCCGCCACAGTCAACAGCATCAGCGAAAGCCGGCAGCAAATGCAGGGTCGACCCAAATGATATTACAGTATGGGGAGACAAATTTGCGATGCTCGAGCTAAACCAAACCAAATTCGTACAAACCCGCCACCAGCCGAAACTAGTTCTACCATGGAAGCACCGCCCAAGCTAAGCAATTTCGCAGGAAACGGAGAACAACCCAAAACAGAAGTCGAACACGAGAGAGGGGTTGAAGGTACCTCCGACAGTTGAAGAAAGCAAGCAAAGTCAGTGAGCGAGAGAGGAATTTGCTTGAGCTTGGAGTGTCGTCCCCAGAAGCTCTCAAATGGCGACTGGGATGCAAATCGCAAACGTTAAAGTTGTCTTCTTGGTCACGAAAAACTCAGAAAGAAGACAACTTTCTTTTCGGCTTAATCCCACAAAAAAACCCAACTTTAGTTAAAGTCCCAAAATCTGTCCCGAATTCTTTTTATCTCACAAAAAATCTCAAACTTTAGGTCCAATCCAAAATCTATCCAAACTTTTTTTTATCTCAGAAAAAGTCCCAAACTTTAAGTCTAACCTAAATCTGCCCCAAAATTTTTTTTTGTGTAAAAAAAATCATCAAAATTCAATTTATTTTCAAAAATATACTCCCGTGATCCGATTCCAACTTGACGTGGTACTTTCACGTCAATAAAGAATCTACATTAATAAAGTAATGGGGCTTTTTTTAAGACAAAGAAAAGTTCGGGACAAATTTGGATTGAACCAAAAAATTGGATTTTTCTTTAAATTAAAAAAAAAATGGGGTGGATTTGTTATCGTCCTTAACTTTCATCTACTAAAACGGTTTTGTCAATTTTTATTAGGTTGGATTTGTTATCGAAATGGAAATTGGATATTGGTCTGTACCTATTGCCCCATTACTTTGCCGATGTGGATTTGTTATCGACGTAGAAGTGCCACATCAAGTTGGGATTAAATCACGGGGGTATATTTTTTAAAATAAATTGAAATTTGCTTATTTTTTTACACAAAACAAAATTCGGGACAGATTTGGGACTGAACTTAAAGTTTGGGGTTTTTTTTTAGATAAAAAAAAGTTCGTGACAGATTTGGGACTGACCATAAAGTTTGAGGTTTTTTAAGGAATTCACCCCTTTCTTTTCTCTACCGTTATCGTACAATCATGGGCTGGGTTAAAGCCCAGTCCATAGTTGAAAGTGAAAAGCCCACAATTTGGTACTCGATCGACCCGGATCTGACCCGATCCGACTTGCCCCCGATTCAACGGTTCTTGCTCTACTCTAGTCTCGATATACATTGATCCTCTATCTAATTCATGTCTCTATGTCGGGTCATAGTCGTGTCGTCTCGTAATCAAGTCGTCTCAGGCTTTGGCTTGGCACGGACACGACACGTTCGTTGATGGTATCAACACAATAGGTTTATCGTTAACGTGAGAAAATGTATTTGCGGAGCATCGACACAAATGACATATTATTCTATATAAAAATTCGTTTGAATGTGTCGTGAACGAATCAAAAGCATGGATCCGCGCACGGTGTATCTATTACTCGTTTATGAAGGCACATAATTAGGCTTGACAAGAACATGCTTAAATCGCGTGCGATGTGTCGGATGTATAATCATGCAGATAGGTCTTGCTAAAAATTGCCAGATCTAATTGGAGAGGGCTAGAGCGCGACATAAGTTGGGGGAAATAATAGGGTTCGGATTCATTGAGTGAAAGATTTCACATGGATGGTTTTGGAGAAATTTGCGACTCTCCTTTTGCATACTTAACCGGGGTCATGCGCGGTCGCAAATGCACATTCATTTCAGTTCCAAGGGAATTACAGTCAACCAAAACTTTCAATGGAAAAAAGCGCACTGCATGATCGTGCTGCTCTAGGCTCGACCCGAGTCGAGTCGTACGGGCGCAAGGGCTTTTTGAGCGGGCGTGGACAAGGGCATTTAGTGAAAACCCATGACCCGAAGATCCGCATGTAGAAATTCTTACGAGCAGCCTTGCGCAAATATTTAGATCTATCCCGAGACCGTCCAATGATCATCTCTAAAAGAGATTACTCAATAAGTTCAAAACCAAAAGCTCAGAGAGAGAGAGATTCTTCAGGGAACATCTCAGCCTAGATTCCATACAAGGTTTCAAAGCAATGAACAGCTAGACAAATTGTATCAACAAGTAATTCTTCCTTTTTCTATTGCTGGAATTGCATCAACAAGAATTCAGTTCCTCAAGAATCCACTTTATTCAATGATACAGATGAGAGAGTTGTATCCAAGTCAAGAATCAAGTTTTGGTTAAAAGAGAGAAATGGCCAAGAATCAAGCTCTCTGGTGGACAATTCAAATAAATTCTCTGAAAAAATGCTTCTGTGTCAGGCCTAAATGAATTCGTGCATCCCTTCGGGTTGCAAAAATCAACTTTACGCAGAGGCGCCTGGTATCAGCAAATGAACATATCAAGTACCTAAACTAGGCTGCTGTTTCCCATCTGTGAAACAAGAAAATCATTAGCCACCATTCCTGAATGACTGGTAAACACAATGCCCTGAAACAATTCACATTCTAGAAACAGACCGAGCCATTATCGTACGAGGGCTTACCCCAGAAAAAAACTATACATTTCAAGAACAAATCGTCCCATTTGATGTTATATAGAATTTCAAAAGGAAATCCTATGAGCTCATCATGTGCCTGTATTTAGCAGCAACTTAACATGTAGAGACACTTTCATAAATCTGAAATCTGAGACTAATATGTTCTGCTGAATATTTCTTTGGGGACTTTTTTTTTACAAGTTATATTATGTCAATTTCTTTTATTTTAAACTCAGTCATATCTAACCAACCAAACATAACATAGGATAGTAAATACTGATACCCTGTCTCTTATCCAAGATTTCTCAATCAGTGCACGTGACATAAGAAACATGGAGATTTCTTCACCTATTTTATCCTATTCTCCAGTCGTCATATCCTATAACCACATGCAGCTAATGTCTATAGCATTCAGTGGCCAAAATAAGAAAAGAGGGTCTACAGCATTCCCACTCACATTAGAGCTTAATGCTTCTAGAAAGAAAATCCAGTCGTCCCAAACGTCAAACCAAGTTGTTGTAGTCCACAAATTTGACATTTATGACCATTCCAACGCATATACAAGTTCATAATTTTTATGTGATTTTAACTTGCACACTAAGCATCCAAATGGTTTTTGCAGTGATCTTTGGATGCTGCGGCAGCTTACCGTTACTTAATCAATCTTCATGTCCATCTTCATCTTCAGAATCTGCAAAGAATGAAAACTTTTGAGAGAGGCAGCATAAGCACCTAAGCCTTTTGTAAGAGCCACAAAAATAAGAAGCATAGGCTTTGCAAATAATGGTTCCTTAAACTTCATATCATACTAAAACACTCTGCAGTGAAATTAAGGAAGATGACCCCCCGTTGCGCCTACAGCATTTCCACAACTTGTAATGGTGTCAATTTACAAGTTCCAAATCAGCTAACAGTAACCAAAGACAAGGAGAAAGAAAAGGAAATCTAATGAAAGTTCCGTTTGATTGCATCAAGAAGGGAGTGGCAATGTGTCGTGATACCACCTAAGTAGATCTCTGTAAAAGTTTTCCTGATAAACAAGACCCTTACGGTGTATAAATCAATTATGACAACTGGTGAAAAGATGGAAATCCACTCAGTGTGCCATAAGGATGTTATGGGTCTGTAGCTGCCCCAAAATTTTGCTTGGACTAATGAATATTCAATTAATGCAATCTTTTGAGAAAATAAAACTTTTCCCATGGAATAAGTAATTTTGGCTTGAGAATTTTCCAGATATGCTTTATGTGCCTTTTACCCTGAGAAAACTTAGATTTACTTTTCGTCAAAAGAAAATTTTTAGCATAGAAAACACAAAATTATGATGCTTTTTGAAGATCAAAACTGACATAGAAAAGCCCATCCTTTTTTGTCCTCCAATTCCCCAATGCGCTCTTATCATTTCATGCACTCTAATATCTTAATTATGAATCTCATGCATTGAATTATGACAATGTTTTCCATAAAATTGCCTTTGAAGATCATGGCTTCCATTTCAAACTCTATCAATACATACTGATTATTAGTTTTCCATCAGATTGGTAATTTTGTCATAATGAAACAGAAAATGAAACAAGGGGTAGTGTGGAGATATTTCTCCAGAGAGAGACTTTGGGATAATATTCTTGAAAGTTCACGGAGGAGATGATACGGTAAAGCAGGTTATTCTCTTTCTTCCATCAGTGGCATTTTTAATATTAGACCAAGGAAGACTAAAAGTTGTGAAAGTTGTGAAACAGAAGGCAGAAATCAGGAGTTCCACTGAGGAAATGATTATAAAGCATATTCATTATTGAAATCGTTAAAAAGGCCCACACTTCGACTCACCAGATCTGACATCATCAGTGACCTGCCCTCTGGCTTGAATTTGCTTCACAAGCATCCGGAATATCAATACCCACCAATAGACATGAAGAACAAGCAAGCAAATTAGAAGACTATTGAACACATAATAATAGATTGGGCCATCCACCGGGTGTTTCTCTTTATCCAATGTCAAGAGAACCTCGTAGCTGTCATTTACAAAAGAAAACAAAAAGTCAGATATTAACTCCTGTACAGGAGGTAGCAGCATATCAAAAGGCAGTCTCGTGAATGGCTAAAAGCTTATAATTGATTATACCTAGGAAAGCTAAATTCTACGCTAAGAAGTGATGGTTTTCCACTACGATGTATGTCGATCACCATCTAAGAATGCCAAAGATTCACTGAGATTAGCACGATTACCATGAAGCAGCCTTCATTTTCTTCTATGTTAGACAGAAAAAAGGACATCAGAACCATTGTTCCGCTTTGATAAGATGCACACAGATTTTGAAGTTTGGACCATGCAGCATTGGAGTGTAGCCATCTTCTAAAGAAAGATGGCAAGTATATGGTGGGAGTCAAGACCATGAGAATTTTCAAGAAGGAAGATACTGAAAGCTTTGCACTTTAAGAATATACAAAGTTGGTACCTTTTAGAAGAAACTAGGAATAGCATAACAAACAACGTCAGCAGGGATCAAAGTCGAGTGGTTGAGTAATCATGTGCAATAAGTTTCATTGTCAGCACGTCCCATCATGTGCCTCCCCCCTTATCCTGTAGTCTCTGAAAGATTTTGAACTATGAAATATTCTTGCAATAGAATAGCTCATTGCCCCAAGTAATTGGACATAGCTCTTAGCTTGTCATTCTAGTAGTACAAGCTAGGAATTTAGTCAGTGAATTAGAGTTGCTGAGTATTCTATTGAGTCAAATGACCAGCGTGTGTTTCTTTCTAGCAAGTGCGAGTGCAACTTTACAACAGGACTTACATCCGCACTCACTGATTATTTCTATTTGGCTTATAAAATTTTCACAACAGGGAAGGATATGTATCGATTATTCTACAGAACTTCAAAATCAAACCTGAAAACAATCAACCATACATATAAACATGATCACTCTATAGGTGACTAATCCAATTTGTTACTTACGTCTCAGATTCAAAAGACTCATGAATTGTGGGTATGGAAAATGATGGAACACGCTAAGATCTTGCAAAAGATAAAGCAAACCATGAGCACGCTAGGTGATAAATGTTTACCTTGTACTCCAAATGATCCAAAATGGGTAATAAATAAGACGCAAAATGATCCAAGACAAAACAAAGAGTATAAATGCGCCACTGGCAATCATCTCTGCCCCACTGTACTTGGACATCTTCCCTACTTCCAGAAAAATATCACTGGCATCGTGAAGAGCTAATACAACCGAACCCACTCGGGCAAACCTGCATGGGATAAATATGGAGAAAAAGAGAGAACTGTCACATGAGAGCTTAATTTCAATAAAGCGTAGAAATGGCTTTCTTATAGAATGAACCAAGAAGCATGCTCTCTGTAACAGGTGCCTAATGCATCTAAAGAACTAAGAAAGAAAATTTTTAGAAAAAAACTATGAAATGTTCTCCTGAAGCAAGAACCTCGCCTTGCTATCCACGGGTACCCAATGCATCTAAATTACCAAATAAGACAAGCCTTCTACTACTCTCTTTCTGTCAATTTACACAAAATAAAGAGTGAACTCTGCAGCAAATCTTAAAACATACCTAAATATGTAAGATAGCACAATTAGAATCACAGTCGCGACATGATGACTCATTGACACTCCAAAGTCGGATCTTCGTGTTTCCCAGAAAACCAAAGCAAATATGGAGTATGTGTAAAATCCAGCAGCATACATGTACACCCCCTTCAATTTCAATCTGAAATTTCAAAAAGAAAGGTCATTAAACCAATAAGCGTACTTTCTGGAGGAAAACAAGATTAAACCCATTAGCATTTCAGTATGACACACATGGAACTCACTTAATCTTCTGGTCAGGCCAAACCTGATCTCCTGGTCCTACCCAAAAGTATCTAGTATTAGTGAACCAAGGTTCATCATAGGTTACGTATAGAGCCAGAATCTCGGCTGAAAGAAAGTAAACACATTTCCATGCCGACTCCTTGAATTTTCGTATCTTCTTTCTGCCATCCGACTCTATATCCTTCATTTGCTGCCCCTTCAACAAAATCAACCGTCTACCAACTGTCTGCAACATCATCAATTTTTCAGATGAAGCACAGAGATTTAGAAAGCAGGCTAACTTATCAAAGCGCAGAAAAGAAGGCTATAATGCCATCGAGAGCATCAGTTAATAGCATTTTCAGCATGTAAAATGCTAAAAAAACCCAATTTAGTAGAGAGACTGATATACTCATTATTCATTTAACAAACTAATGCCGGATTCCTCCAACCCCCAAACCCCTCTCTACAGACCACAAAAAAAAAAAAAAAGCAAACTCAAGTCAAATGGTGTCCAAAGAATGGTTCAGTTTGCACAACCGAAGCGATTATCAGCAATCACATAAATCCAATTCCCACCCAGGAGCCACAAAACAGCAATGCCAGAGCAAGTGTACGTCAGTTGCAAGAGGAAAATAACACAGCAGCCTCCGAGAACTGCTACCAACTTTCAGGTACAACCCAGCATCCCAACAAAAAGTCGACTCATGAAATTCAGCCTCTTGAGCGAGTCAACGCCCAAGTCGGAACACAGCAAGGACGACAACAAGTAGCAGCAATCAAACATTACAAGCAGCCATCTCTGCGCCGCACAAAAGCACGTGACACATCCGTTGATGTTATCTAACGCTCTTCCAGCCGAGGCCTAGTCGAGGCATGATTAACGGATCGCACAGAGGAGCTCGACCCCCCCGGTGATGCCCTCCCCACACGAACCATCCACAACACACGCTACTACTCCGTACTCCAACCCCAAAAACAAGCCACTCACCAGCTCGACTCGAAGTCACAGGGCTCGCGATCACGCGAGGCCGGCCGAAGAACGGCATTAATCCAGCAGAGCCGAATCAATCGAACCATACGCAAAAGAGAGGAGGAGGAGGAGAACCTCACCTCGAAGACGAACCGGTCGAGGAAGAACCTGACGAAGGGGAAGAAGAGAGCGAAGAAGGGGAGGACGGCGAAATCGCCGTACTCGGGATACGACTCTCCCTCCCAATCACCCCGCCTCAGCTGCTCCACGTACTCCATGCCTCTCCCCCACCCCAGCACCCCCACCCCCCACCCGATTCAATTCCGGCAAAGGAAAAGAAAAAAAAAAAAAACTTCCAGCCGCCCCGCCGCCGTGTCACTGAGTCAACTCCGACAACGACGAATCACGACGCAGAGGCAATGCGTTTCGGAGACGGTGATGGTGGTGGTGGTGGTGGCGGCGGAGATGGGCGATGGCTTCTCCCTGCGTGCGTGCGTGCTGCGTTGAAATCTGAGAACTCTTTTCCGGTCAATGGATCAGAGAAAGAGAAAGAGAGAGAGAGAAAGAGCGGGGGGCGGATCCATTGGATGGGGATCAAGAAGTGGAAGTTGGAATTCCCCCATTGTTTTTATTCGGGTTCGGAGAAATTGCCCCCGAATCGCCGCGCTTATCTCGAAACTGCCACTGCTTTGGAGTCTCAAGTTAATTTTTATATTCTCCAAAATAAAAAACAAAAAAAAAATTGGCCGGGAAATAGATTACGGAAATAAGAGGAAATAGATTACGGTCCTTGCCTCTAGCCGGTTGTTGTTGGGCCTTGGCAATGTGGCGAGGTCAAGCCTCACTGTGGCTAGGCGAGGTCGAGCCTTGCCCATCTCGGCCTCACCGGGGGGCCGGTGACATCGACCTCATCAGCCCTTGTCTTCGGCCATCGCCAAGGCCCGGTGACCGACTAAAGGAGAAAGAAGAAGGAAGGAAAAAATAAAAGAGAAAAAAAAGAAAAATTCAAAAAATATTAGAAAATTATTAAAAAACTAAAAAAAGTTTCACGTCATAATTTTTAGGGTTGTATCATATGCTTTTCTGTTCTTTTTCTATCCCGAGATTAGAAATTTTGTGTAATTACCAAACGTGTTTTTCTGCTCAGAAACTTATCCAGAAAATGTAAATAGAAAAAACTAGCTGGGTATCATGTCGCGCTTTATATGCATCTCTCTCCCCTTTCATTTTCAAATTAGTGCGGACACGAGACTAAGTCGAGATTTGCGCAACGCCATTGAGCTCGAGCCTGCTGCTCTCAAGTCGGAACACGGGAAGAAGAGGCCGCGACAATTTGGCTAGCGTGTCCCGCTTTATACGCATCTCGCTTCCCTTTTGTTTTCGAATTGACTATCTAACCTAGTTGATCGGTTGAATTTTACGTTCAATAAGTTGTACATAATAAAAGCGTTTAGGAAAATGCGAGGGTTTTCTATTTTAACGTAAACTTACTCCATAAATTTTATAAAATTAATCGAGAAATAGGACACAGGAACAACATCTTCCGGAGAAGTTGTTAATTGTAAGAATGTTCCTATGATACGAGAAGCTCCGATCAGCTTCATGATGCAACCACAGAAGATGATGATGTCCCTGAGGCTACTTTCCCGGATGTAGCCTCGGAAAACAAGACTACTGGTGGTCTCACCTTTACACTTGATGATATTCCTTATCACAAGTGACATGGTAGATTACAAGAGTTTCATGCATGGATGAGTGCAAAAGCGACCGATCCAAATAATGATCAGTTCCACATACTTTTAGAGGTTATTGCCAGATTTACGGGCAGTTTACTATATTGGTAGCTAAATCTTCCTCCAGAAAATCAAAACACTTTTCTAGCTCAAGACTTTGACCAAGTCATCCGCATAATGCACCTATTTTTTTATAGGAAGTGTCGAAGATCTCCTGGAACAAAAGCGAAAGGAGTTCTCTGAGCGCAAATGCTGCTCTTACCAGAGAAATGATCTCAATCAACACTTCCAATGTGCACTTGGTGGAGATCCAGCCCTTAAGCCGGTATTCCTAGGATCCATCCATTCACAGATCTCTAACACGGTGGACAAATACTTCCAAAACCGTAATCGGTGCACTTCAGATGCCTTCCTCAGTGAAATTCAGCAGGCTATCCATATTGCCTTAGATGAACTGTGCCTCCGTAGAAAGGCATTCAAGGAATTCATAGAAAACAATCGGATGCTCGATAAGGCTTGCAAGAAATCAGGACGCCAAATCAAATGCGGCCATAAGGACTCTTATGACTGCTCAACCAAGAAAAAGAAACATTTCAAAAGATATTCCATCCATCAGAAAAGGAAGGGCAAATGGAAATTCTTCAGCAAGAGTAAGTGGCACAAAGGCAGCAGACGAGATGGAAAAAGAAAGAAGAAAGATAGATGTTTTATGGCTCCTTGGGGAAAAGCTGAACCGATTGGCAAGCATTCCCAATGGGCATTCGACCGAAAGCCAGCATTGGAAATGCTGAAACCAACTTTTTTGCCCCCAAACTACCCTCATTTATTTTGACTTATTCCGGTTTCGCCTATCTTGTTACTGTTCATCTTTTGTGCGAGGGTGGCCAACACCGGATGGGGCCGGCGAGGTCGCACGACCCAGTCGACGGCTGCCTGAGGTCGCGCGACCGCCCAGGCACCACAGACCTGGGTCGCGCCGCCTGAGGTCGAGCGACCCAGGTGATGGCCGCCTGCAGCAGATCTGGGTCGCCGAGGGTCGCCAGACCTCGGGTGACAGCTGCCAGCGCCAGATCTAGCTCGCTGGCGGCCGTAGGCCTTCGTCGGCTCCGGCGAGAGGTAGGGTAAGTTTTTTTCTAATAAAAAAGGAAATTCCCAAAGCCCTTTACAAAAAAAATTTGCCAAACAATACTTGGCCTAAAGTAGCTTTATAAAGGATTTTTTACCAAACTCCATTTACATTTTCCCAAGGAGTTTTAACCTAAAGGTATTTGTATTCCCCCAAGTCTCATTTGCAAAGTTGAACCAAACGGACCCTATACGTGGAGGTAAATGACATTTTGCAAAGAATTGTCCTCAGGCAAAGAAGAAAAGCATAAATCTTGTGGATTCCATCCGCCACAAGATTGGAATCTCTATTGAAGAAGATGATCTCGAATCTCTCTTCTCCCTTGAAGATGAACCTTCAGTAAAAACAATTTGTGTCATCCAAACTCTTTCAGACACCAGCGGCGATGAAGAATCAGACTCCGGACGGCATGTTTTTCTTTGAAGATTCATCTCCATCCCAACTACGAACAACCCCATCAATCCAGATGTCCAAGAAAAGCTCCATTTCTTTCAAACCATATGTTCCTCTTCAGATCTTTCCGTCTAAATATGCTAAACCTATTTCCCTAATAGCACTCATGGATACCGGTGCAGATTCACACATCCTTGATCCCATGCTTCTCCTTGATAAATATTGGCAACCCCACACACAATATTTTACCTTTGCATCAGGAAACACATTTGCCACCAGGGTGAGGAGTAAACCTATCAAAATCCAATTCTTCCCACATTGCTCCATTGTTTCTAGGGTCCTCGGTTCTCCATCTCCTGACCAAGACCTCATCATTGGTTGGGACATTTTGACTTGACTTCCTAGTCTTAAAATCATGCCAAATGGATTAAATTTCACTCTCAATTTCGAGAGTTTGTGGAAACTATAAGACTCTATCTCATCCAGCCAGAACATTTAGACCCCATCCTTCAGCTTCTCCTGGAATCATGAGCTGAAACTCATACAGAGTTTCTCACCAAATGTCAGCATCATTTGTGAAAAAATGAAGACTTCTTCATTAAGTTGCCTTTCAAGAAGAATGAAAATATTAATCTTACTAAAGTGAGCCACAAAGGGATGAACCCTGTAGGTCTTCAGCTCGCTTGGACGGAATGCACAAACTTAGTCCAGCAAGGTCTAATTGAGCCCACAAATTCCCAATGGGCATGCGAAGCTTTTTATGTGGAAAAATGTGCTGAACAAGTTCATGGGAAAAAAGAGGCTGGTCATCAATTACCAGCCTTTAAACCTGTTCCTTCTAGATAACAAGTTCCCTTTGCCTAACAGGAAAACTCTATTCTATAGTCTGTCCAATGGAAAGGTCTACTCCAAGTTCGACTTGAAGGTAGGATTCTGGCAACTAGGGATTCATCCGGAAGATAGACATAAAATATATTTTTGCATCCGAAGACAACACTTCAAGTGGAAAGTCCTTCCATTTGGATTAAAGACAACCCCTTCAATCTTCCAAAAGGTCATGTGCAGAATTTTCCATCATATCAGTTCGAATTCTCTAATTTACATTGACGACGTCCTATTTTACAGTGAGGATGAGACATCTTACTGCTATCTTCTCTCTCAGTTTGCTGACATAGTTAAGCAACATGGCATCATGCTCTCTCAAAAAAAGATGAAGATTGCCCAAATAGAGATAGAATTCTTAGGCATGCAGCTCAAAGATGGTGCTGTTCAACCAAGTGACCATATTGCCAAGGAACTACTCAAATTTCCAGGTGAGAATCTTTCTCACAAACAAGTCTAGCAATTCCTTGGAATCGTCAATTATCCGAGAGATTTTGTTCAAAAAATTACTAGGTATATGCATCCTTTACAGAAAATGTTATAGAAAGATCCACCTCCTTAGGATCCTCACAAACCAAGGCAGCTCAGTCACTTAAATAGAAGTTACAATCTCTGCTCCCGCTACAAATTCCGTCTGATGGCAAGAGAATTCTTCAAATTGATGCGGGCAATTCTCTTTGAAGAATAGGCAGATGGCAAAAGAAGAATCTATGGACACAAAAGTGGAAAGATTTTCTCAAGCAAAAATTCATTATCACTCCACCTTCAAAGAAATTTTGTCCGTTAAGTATGGAATTAAGAAATTCGAATTCCATCTCATTATTTCCTTGTGGAAATGGACATGTCTTCCTTTCCTCAAATGTTAAAATTCAAGTAGAAGATAGTTCAACATCCTCAACTTCTCAGATTGGGTGGAATGGTTTTCAAAATATTCTTTTGAAATCAAGCACATTGCGGGGAAAAAGAACGTGCTTACTAATTTTTTATCCAGACCAAATCCTGCAGTAGCTTCCTTCAATATGTATGTCTCCAGGATAGCTAGGGGTGTGCGGTTCCCGATCCGATCCGGTCCCACCCAAGAACCGGGAACCGGACCGAGAGGACCGGTTCCCAATTTTTAGGACACCAACTAGTCCTGGGACCGTGGACCGGACCGGGCCATCGGTCCGGTCCGATCCGGTTCCAATGAAACCAATCACTTATTTGAATGAATTGAAACTTTATGTAGTAAAGCTTTGACGGCTAGTATCCAAGGTTGATGCCGGAACTTAGCCTAACAGAACTAGATGCAGGTGAATTAGATACATAACCAGAGGAACGTTGAACAATTATCCCAATTGGAACTCCTCCCAACACGCTTAAAGCATCAGCCTAATCACCATATCACCAATACAAACAATAAAGAAAACATAGTCATAACTAATCTAGAACAAACTCTCTGAGGAGTAAAAAACGAAATCAAATTCTACAATAAGAGCAAGGGAAAGACGTTCAACATTAAACTGCCAAACTCCACAAATCTCACTGAATCACTCACGGTTGTATACCCTTGGAAGAACAGATTCTTTGATTAAGTAAGCAAAATATGATCAAAGCCAAGAGCCCAAAAAACCACGACTAAACTTGTTGATAGTCCTGCAATATATTGGATATGATTACTGAACATTAGTTTTAAACTAGAATTATCAGTAATCGAACTCAAATAATTAATGGAAAACTCACCACATATATTTCTTCCACTTCAACTTGCAAACTCTATTTACCGGTAAGCTCCAAGTGAACATTGTCCATATCTAACAAAAACAAAATATTAAATAAAGCATTCACTTGTTAGATATACGAAAGAATTACAAGATAAAAAGATATATTTAGACTTACCCCACTCAAACCTTTCTGCATTCTCGATGCACTCTTCAACATTAATCTGCATGGTAGCCACTCTCAACCAATCTTGAGTGCAAATCAAAGCTTCTACCACTTTAGGAGTCAAGGAACTTCGAAAGCCATCAAGCACACAACCGGATGTACTGAAAGTTGACTCCGAAGCAACGGTTGTCACAGGAATAGACAAAATATCCCGAGCCATCAAAGAGAGGATTTTAAACTTTTGGCCAGCAGTTTTCCACCACACCAAAAGGTCAAGATCACGACCTTCGTCACGTTCGGCTTTAAGATACTTATCAAGCTCAGATAAATTACCTGCGGACACTTTTTTCTCCTCGTAAAGAAAGAATTCGTATGCCTTTTCCGAATCAAAATCCACAACCAAATCAAGCTCATCCTTGTCACCCTCCTCGTGACTATCAGGATCCCAACTACTAACAGTATCAATGGAAAGTTGACCACCCAAATTTCCGTCGCTAGAACCAAGAAAAGATTTTTCATAAAAATGAAACAAACGTTCCAGGGCAATCCTCACCTTATCAGACATCTCATCAACTTTCGCACTATCATCATAGATTAGTCTAAAACAATACCGCACATAATTCATCTTTTTTCTTAGATCCAATATTACCACAATCAACACCATCATATTTACTTTTTCGAAACTCTCATAATATTTGTCAAACTTATCCTTCATCTTCGCACCCATAGCTTTCACCCTAGGATCCAAAGCCTTCTCCGCTTGTTTCAGAGTTTTATATAAAGTAGCTATCTCGTTGAAATAATCATTCGAAGTGACATACAAAGTCCCGGACATCTTGTTGGTGGCATCATAAAACTTCTTCAAAAATATGGAAAGAATTTTGGCATTTTCCCAATCTTCATGTTTAGGAGTTTCATAATCAAGCTCGGTTAAGAAAGAAAAATCTTCCTCTTCCATTCTTTCAAAAGCTTTTCTGAACTTTAAGGTGGTGTCTAACATGAGGTAAGTGGAGTTCCACCTAGTTATAATATCAAGACAAACTGAACCCTTGTAAGTGATTCTTGCACTTTCAATGCAATCTTGGAATGTTTTAGCTCTCATGGGAGAATCTCTCACATACCTAACCACGTTTCGAATACGTGCAATAGAATCACGTACCTCGGTCAATCCATCCCTCACAATCAAGTTTAAAATATGAGCCGTGCATCTCATGTGTAGAACATCATCATCTAAGATCAATAGCCTATCTCTTGATAATTTTTCTTTCAAAAAACCAATGGCAACATCATTCGAACTAGCATTATCCACAGTGATTGTGGATACTTTTTTCTCTATTCCCCACTAGTAGATGCATTTCTCAACCATTTTCCCAATATCCTTCCCCTTATGACTAGGCATCACCACAAAATTGATGATTCTTTTGTGCAATTTCCAATCGTCATCAATAAAATGTGCAGCGAGACATAGATAGTTCAAATTCTGAATGGAACTCCTTGTATCGGTTGTGAGTGCGACCCTAGACTTAAGCTTGCGAAAGTAAGTCTTCAAACTTGTTTTTTCACAAAGATACAACTTCATGCAATCTCTAGCCACCGTAAATCGTGAGATGTGATTGAAGAGAAGTTGTAACTGATTAATAAAATCACGAAATCCGACACGCTCAACCATCGAAAAAGGTTGTTCATCCATTATGATCATCTGAACAAGCATTTGCCTACAACGATCCTGATCAAATGTCCATGTCGATAAGACATTAGCACTACCGGTACTGGTATGCCCCCTTGTCATTTGAGTCCTATCTACTCTACATGCAACAAACAATTTTTGCTTCTTATCTATATTGCAAGGATACTTGTTGCACCGTTTCAAGTGCTTCAACATAGCAGAAGTACCATTAGCAACACTGTACGTATAGTGTGCCCCACAATAATTGCAAAACATCTCAGTTTTCCCATTTTCAGTTTTTCCTTTACGAAAATGAAGCCAGGCTACTGATTTTTGTTTACCAGAAGGACAAGTATTAGATACCTTGTTTGTGTCGGATCCCTCTACGAAGTCTTCTTCACCTTCATCTTCTAGTGAGTCAATTACTGGCTTCATAAAATCATTGGATTTGTCCACTTCCATTGACATTTAAATAGATTTCCTGAATCAAGTAAAACATAATTGGAGCCATCAAACCAGAACACCCACCAAATTCAGTAATAATTGTACCATTAGATACACAACAAGTCCACATATCTTCAAGAAACAGGCTGAAGAGGCCTTTGCTCGTGTTAGAGATAAGGTCGGTTTACACAATTTTTAGCTGTACTTTTTCATATTTTTAGGTTCAATCCTTAGCTACTTTGCCTTAGAATAGAGAGCGCTATTACATCTATTCCTATGTTTGCGCATAAGGCATGTCCTCAGCAGGGCGATTGCTAAATATGTAGGTAAATCACAGAGTTTATAAATCTTTGCCGTATCTAAGGTTCTTAACTTGATCTCTAATAGAGGATGGATTGACTTGACTCAACACATCCCAGTTTGCGGATTGGAGTCGCATATGTCGATGTAAGGGCATGTATTGTTTCTTAATTTCATTTCAAAAGTACCATAAAATTCTTCTTTTTTTTTGGTAGAACGCATAAGTTCATGTTATACACCGTTGCATATTTGAAAACAATTGTTGTGGGGTAAAGCTTTCCATAATAAATGGATACAGTGGGAAAAAAAACTAGATTTTTAGTGTATATTCTCGATCGTGTCCTGTTTTTCTATCTTCTTCTGTCTCTATACAAGAAAACCTCCTGAACTAGGTCTGAGCCATTGATAACCAAATTTATGCAAAACAAAGTCACAGAGCACAAGCAAAGCAAACAGACCAAAAAATCCATGGGACTTCACTTTTCCATATAAAAAAACAAATTCAATCACATTCGTAGAATTTAAATGAGCAAATCTTAAAGAAGAATGCCACAGCTTGACCCCAAGAATAATTATACGCAAACCCTCACTTCAATAGAAAGTCGAGCGAGAAAAACTTACCGATTATAGGAAATCAAGGGCTGTCCGTCGGAGACTAAGCGCTGTCGACGTAGAGCGAGGCGTCAGGCAAGAGGGAAAGGCGTAGATGTTGAGCGAGGCATGAGGCGAGGCAGCAAGAGGGAAAGGCGTTGACGTCGAACGAGGCTTAAGGTAAAAAGGAAAGGCGTCAACATCGAGCGAGGCTTGAGGTGACTAGCGAGGCCGCAAGAGGGAAAGGCGTCGAGCGAGGCGTCGAGCGAGGCGTGAGCGAGGTCACGAGAGAGAAAGACGTTCTAGGCTTCAAGTGACGAAGCGAGAGAGGCAAACTGAGTGAGGAATTTGGCAAAGCCTCAGAGGTAAAGGTGAGAGTAAATTGGGGATAATAGATTAGGGCTTCTAGTTTTGAATCTCAGAGCATTAGATCGTGTATTTTCTATATGGGAAGCAGAAGGGACTTTTAGTCTTTTGCCGCAGAGGTAACTGGTAAAAGCCTAAATATATTTAGGCTTTTTATTTTTTCAAAATTTTTAAAAAGTAAATAAATCTATATTTTCTGACCAAAAATATAAATATATATTTATGGGTCCGGTCCGGTCCGGTTCCCACCCTAGAACCGGGAACCGGACCGCTCGGAAACCGGTTCCACTTTTAGGAACCGGGAATCGGACCGATACTCCCGAGAACCGGACCAAACCGGCCAGTCCGGTCTGGTCCCGGTTTGGGCGGTCCATCATGCTCACCCCTAAGGATAACTAGTGGATGCATCAAGGCCCAACCAATGTTGCCTACATGGCCAAGTCGAGAATACCTCCCCCTGAAATTCCAGACTTGATCCAAGGAAATGTTTTTGCTGAAAGCATGATCGATATTTTGTGGGTATATCAACGGAAGGTTTTCAACATGTATGAAAGATTATGTTTAAGACCTTTAGGATTGCATCCAAAGTACCTATTCTTATATTTTCTTACTATTTCCCTAGATGATCCATTTCTTGAGGAACTCAAATGGTTTTTCTGATATTTGTTAAATTTGCATACCATAGCCTTTGAATTTCCCACAACAAAGATGCCCCTCATTATTGGCAACATCATTCAAGGGGACTCCCCTTTTCAACATCTGGGTGAATTGCTTGCATGGTTCAAACCTTTGGAAGCTTGGAAAACATTTTTTCAGGGACAATTCAGGGCTTCCAGACCCAATCTAGAATTATATACCATTGTTTTATTTCATAGACCATGGATGTTCTTAAGGCCCAATGGAGACCTCCACAAAACACCGGCGCAAGTAGGTGTTTCGACTTTTAAACCACAACCAGCTCTAGATGAAACACACAAGACTCTCCATGCTCGTGTTCGCCAGCTTTCACAAGAATATCAGGAGCTTCAGAGAATTCTATGCCGACACAACAGGATAATCCCTCCAGAGATATGGCCCCACGATAGTATCATATGTCACCACTGAAACCCACAATTCCCTGGACAAAGTTTTAAAATTTGACAAGCCCTCAAAGAATATCATGAAGATGATCTCGTTGATGATGAAGATGACGAACCTGCCGCATATTTCCAAGATATTCCCTCTTCTTCCCAAGACCAACGGGGTAGACCACTAGCTCAGGACCCATATTCCTCATGTCCTCCCACACAGTTATAGCCTATGTAGCACCGACACGTGACATGCGACACATCATTTCTCAAAAAATAGAGAATTCCGACACGTTGTAAATTAAATATATATTTTTATATATACATGCTAAATTATCATTTTTATGATTATTTTAATCAAATTAATTTGATTCAAATCCACAAATAAATAAATAATACAAAAAGAGCATAGAATGAATTTATACTAATAACATTAATCCACCATTTGTTAATATCATTCATTGTTTCAATTTGACAAATTCAACTACATTCCATTCCAATAATCCATAAAACTTGGAGAGAGAAAAAACAAGCAATCCACATTCCACCATTAAATTTAACATTTAACAATAAGTCAAAAAATAAAAAACAATCCACATTTCACCATCAAATATAACAAGTCATTCATCTACATTATCCACTTATGAAAAAATAACAGACTCCATCTCCAGCTCATCAAGTGAAAGACTCACAACTTCAAGCACTCAAACATCTTCAAACGTGTCAAATGCATCTCCACCAATATCCCACATCTTGGTCTCTCATTCTGCATATTGTGGGCTTTTTCTTGATAGAAGACGTAGGTTGCTATGAATAAAAACCAAGTCTTCTACACGTTTTGAAGTCATTTTATTTCTCCTCACCGAGTGCACGAAGGAGTAAGTACTT